ATTCCAGAGTCCCCAGGTCAAAGAGAAAATATTGTAAGCAACCGGAAAGAAACAATTCAAGTATCAGCAGCTTCTACATTACTGTATCGGAAGCTTGGAAAATGATATTCTAGAGGGCAGAGGAGCTAAGTTTACAACCAACAATCACCTACCAGTGAAACTGAGTATAATCCTCCAGGGGGGAAAATGGAAATTCAATGAGATAAAGGACTTTCAAGCATTCTAAAAAGCAGAGCTGAATAGAAAATTTGACTTTTGTTGTTTAATAATTTTAAACTGTTTACGTTCCTACGTGGGAAGATGATATTTGTAACTCATGAGATCTTTCTCATTATTAGGGTAGTTAGAAGGACTATATATAGACAGAGGGCACAGGTGTGAGTTGAAATATGAAGGGATGATATGTAAAAAATAAAATAAGGGGTGAGAGAGGAATGTACTAGGAAAAGGAGAAAGAGAAAGGCAGAATGCAGTAAATTATCTCACATAAAAGAGGCAACAAAAAGCTTTTACAGTAGAGGGGAATAAGGGGGAAGTGAAGGGGAGTGAGTGAACCTTACTGTCATCAGAATTGGCTCAAAGAGGGAATAACATACATATTCAATTGGGTGTAGAAATCTGTCTCACCCTACAGGAAAGTAGGCGGAGAAAGGGATAAGAGAAGGTGGGGGAATGATAAAAGGGAGGGCAGATTAGGGGAGGGGGTATTCAGAAGCAAAACACTTTTGAGGAGGGACAGAGTGAAAGAAGAGAGAGAATAGAATAAACGGGGTGAGAAGAAATAAGATAGAGGGAAATACAGTTAGCAATAGTAACTGTGAAAAAAAAATTGAAACAAGTTTTTCTGATAAAGGTCTCATTTCTCAAACATATAGAGAACTGAGTCAGATTTATAAAAATATGTGCCATTCCCCAATTGATAAATGATCCAAAGATATGATCAGTTTTCAGATGAAGTAATCAAAAATATCTATAGCCATATGAAAAAATACTCTCACAATTATTTGGAGAAATGTAAATTAAAACAGTTCTGAAGTACTACCTTATACCTATTAGATTGGCTAATAGGACAGAAAAAGTAAATGACAAATGTTGGAGGGGATGTAGGAAAAATGAGACTTTCATGCATTGTAGAGTAATTTGGAACTGTGTCCAAAGGGCTATAAAACCATGCATACCCTTTGACCTAGAAATACTACTACTAGGTCTGTATCCCAAATGAGATTTTAAAAAAAGAAGGGAAAAGGACATATGTACAAAAAATATTTATAACATCTCTTTTCTGGAGCTAAAGAATTAGAAGTTGAGGGGATGCCCATCAATTGGGGAATGGCTGAATAAGTTGTGGTATGTGATTATGATGGAATACTATTGTACTCTAAGAAATGACGAGCAGGATGCTTTCAGAAAAACCTAGAAAGACTTGCATGTGCTGATGCAGAGTGAAATGTACAGTGTACAAAGTAACAGGAATATTGTGAGTTGATCGGCTGTGAATGACTCAGCTATTCTCAGCAATACAGTGATCCAAGGCAACTCCGAAGGACTTATGAGGAAAAATGCTATTTATCCCCAGAGAAATAGTTGATAGTATCTGAATACAGATTGAAGCCTACTTTTTTTTTTACATTCTTTATTTTTCTTGAGGTTTTTTTTGTTTGTTCGTTTGTTTTGGTCTATGTTTTCTTTCACAACATGACTGTTAAGGATATGTTTTGCATGACTATACATGTATAACCTATATCAAATTGCTTGCCTTTTCAGTGTGGTGGGGTGGGGAGGAAAGAAGGGATAGAATTTGGAACTCAAAGTTTTAAAAGCAGATGTTAAAAATTGTTTTTACACGTAACTGGGAAAAAATAGAATTCTAAATAAAAGCTAACAAAAAAAAAAAGGTAGTTTTGAACCTCCTGTCTCAAGCTGTGTTTTTCCTGTAGAGATGAGCTTAATCACCCATGTAATAGGGAGGAAACACTGACCTTACTGCAAATAACCCAGAACTGAATTTGAACAGCATATAGGGCGTCTTAGAGCTTCAACAACTAACAGTTTTCCAACCTTTGTATCAACAGAAATATCCATTTCCAGCATCCTTGCTGTTGTTGACAATAAGTGACATTTATGGAGCACTTCAAGATTTCCAAAGCACTTTATATACATTAGTTGATTTCAGCCTTGTAACAATGCTAGGATATAGTACCTACTGTAGATTTTATTATCCCCATTTTACAGATAATAAAACTGAGGCTCAGAGAAGGTAAGTGAGTGACTTGCCCTTGGTTATACAGCTAGTACCTAGACCAGATATAGGCTTTGGACTCAAGTTCAATAACATTTTAATATCCAGTTTTAGTTTATGAGTATCTAACCCAAGATTTATTGATGTAATATAGGGAAAAGGAAAACAACAGTTTTCTATTATTGTACCACAGTGAATTTTTGAAAACTACTATTGTCTTATTTTCTCTAAACTTTATAACTCTGGTTCCTTTGGCATATAAAGTAGACAAGAACAACTTTAAGCTGTCATCCTTCCTAATATCTTATATTTTCATTTCTTAAAATAAAAAATATATCCATTCCTCCACTAGGTACATATGTGTATGTTTAACATAACACCATTGCGTGGAGAGATAGATGCAGAAAATACACCCATGGTTCTAAGCCTTGTACCTTTCCACTTTTGCTAAGAACCCAAATAATTTGTTATAAGAATGCTTTGTAGTTGATGGTCAACCCCAGAGGTAGGCCTATTAATTCTGTAACATTACCACTAACTCTCAAAACCTCGTTCAAAAGTTTGAGTACTGTTTGGCTGTGCCGTAGTTGGGATGCATAGAAGCTCTGATGTGGTAACACAGAATATTTCTGCAACCCATGCATGCTAACCAAGGGAATCTAGACAAAACACTTAGAGCTGGTTTATATCAGACTAATTCTTATGTGTTTAGAGAAGTAGAGTGGTTTTTTTTTAATTAGTTAACATTTTCATTTAATAATCATTTATTTTTCTCTCTCCATCTCCTCCACCCCCAATGGAGGGGAAGACCCTTTATTAAAAAAAATATGCATAGTCATACAAAACATGTATGCCTCATTCTGCACCTTGTGTCTATTACTTCTCTGTCAAGAGATGGATAGCATGCTTACTTTGCTCTGCACCAGAGAACTAGGATCTTACCCAAGTTACCTTTGATTTAAGGGGGAAACAAGGAAATAAATGATAAGCTGGCTCAATATTGAGAGATGTCCTTGATAACTTTTCTGGAGATAACCTCCCTTGTGTCTAATAGAAATAGAATGCCTTACTGAATCCATTTTGACATTTTGAGAAGTGAAATAAGTGTAAAGGGAAAGCTGAGAAGAGGTAAAACCAGTAGCAAAGGTGACTCCTCAAGATGAGAGAAGTGAAGGATACCTCCTGCCTCACCCCCAACCTTTCATTTCTCTCCACTTCATGCTCTTCTGCTGCCTGTACCACACACCACCTGTCTCACCCACTCTACACCACCACTAATCATCACATTATCATCACTGATACAGATTATGCAATAAAATGGTAGAAACTCTGCAGTATATCACTGCAGGTTACAAAAATTTAGCATCTAACAATACTTAGAAAGACACAATCTGGTGGCTAGAATTATACTCCAGAAGCTCCCAGACCTTTATAAGCTAATAGATAGCAAGTCCTTGAACTACACATATAAACCTCTAAATATCCTTAAGAGTTTAGCAAATAAACTATACTAGCACCAGACTATTATCAAGTATATCACAAACATGATATGGTCCACAAAATTTTAAAAACATTTTTAATAGATATCACCATACTGAATACATATAATCTCCAAGCAGCATGGAAGGAAAAGCTCTCAAACTGTGGAGACCTACAGGACAAGATTAAAGTCATGTAGGAACCAGATCATATGTCATCACTGGTGTCCTATATGTTACTAGAGTTGGTCCCAAAGAAGTGTTCAGGGTACCTACAAAAAAAATCCTTACATCTTAGTTGTTGTTGTTGTTTTTCAGTCATGTATGACTTTTTGTGACCCCATTTGGGATTTTCTTGGCAAAAATCCTAGAGTGGCTTGCCATTTCCTTCTCCAGCTCATTTTACAGATTAGGAAACCAAGGCAGAGTTAAGTGACTTGCCCAGCTAGTAAATGTCTGAGATCAGATTTGGACTCAGGAAGATGAACCTCCCTGACTCCAGGCCCAGCACTCTATCCACTGTGCCACCTAGCTGCCCTAGTACTCTCTTGTTTTCAAAAGTAGGTATTTTATCCATGTGTACAATAGTCTCCCCCAAAAATCAAATATAAAAGAATAATAGCAAAATAGTAATATCTATGACTTCTTATTTGCCATTTATATCTGAACCCTCTCAAAAAGATGAGAAGAGCTAATAATGATGTTGACAATGATGACAACTCATATTTGTAAAGCACTTTTAGGGTTTGTAAAATATTTACCCTATAAAGTAGATAGTACAAATATGATTATCCCTAATTGAGACAATTCTCAACCAAAAGGTGAAATGGCTTGCTCAGTGTTATACAGAAAGTTAAGAAGAGTCAAGGCTAGAATTTCAATCCATTCTTCCCAGTACAAAGTTCAATAAACTTCCCACTGCCTCCACCAACTGCCTCCACCCACCCCTCCTGAGGCCGTACCTCAGGAGCCCTGTCAAGCTATCCACACGTATACTTTCCTCTTTCTCCATTTTGGATATGCATTGCAATATAATGACTCTCCAGCTATTAGCCACTAATCACAGGACTTAAAAATGGGAAGCCCTTCAAATGTTCTTTATTCTGGCCATCTATTTTTACACATCAAAAGACATCTGGCCCTGACCAAAATGCCATTTTTCTCCAAACTAACTCCATCATTTATTTTAGCATTTAAGGAAAACATGAAGAAAAAAGACTTTTTTTCAAATGTTGTTTCAGGCCACAAAGCTTGATTTCATCTTTTGTTGTTGTTGTTCAAAGATCCCAGAAGAACACGACCTAGAGAGCCAAATCCGAAAAGAGCGAGAGTGGCGATTTCTACGAAACACACGTGTGAGAAAGCAAGCACAGCAGATCATCCAGAAGGGTAAGTAGTGCCTCCGCATATATAATACCTGAAATGCTACATTTGACTTGCTTCTTTCTACTTTCAGAATTGAGGCGTGGAAGGGAGACTTTTTTTCCTATTGAAGAAAACTACCCATTAAGATTTTTTTATTTCTTCAGGATGGATAATTCCTTTGTAGATCATAAGCCCTCGGTGCTTTCATAGATGGTCTTCATGATTTGCTTTGACCAAGAACTTCATCACCATACAACTAATCTGCTATTGAGTTCCTGCAGATTTAGCCAGGTTGATCTATATGGAACAGATAAGCATTCAGTCATAGGGCCCCTATTGGAAGCATCATGAACTTGAGAGAATCTGCCAGATCTTGCTCTCTACTGACATAGTTTTTGAGAAAACAGAAACACTTCTATGCTATGATGAGGCATCAGTGGCAGAAGCAGATGAGATAGATCACTGAGGTCAATTGGACATTTTCCCCTTAACCTATATAGCAGCCTGCATTTTTCATAGTCCAGAATGGGCAGGAACAGAAGTACACAGAACCCCTGGAAGATATCCCTAACAGTTTAGTATTATGGAAATTTGTCCATCTGCTTTGCAGATCCTCTGACTCCATGAATATCAAAGAGTCTCAGAATGAAGGGACTTGAAGTCATTTAAACAGGCTAATACCTGAAAAAGAATTGCCCCTGTAAAAATAACCAATAATTATTCATCCCATTGCCTCTAAAGCAGTCCATTCTCTTTTTTGGATAGCTCTAATTATTAAGAAGTTTTTCCTAAATCTCCTTTTGCTTAAAAAAAATCTTTTTTTAAAATTTTCAACATTCTTTTTTTAATTTGAGTTCCAAATTCTCTTTCACCAGCTCCTCCCCCACCTATTGAGAAGGTAAACAATGATATCAATTATACATGTGAAATCATGTACAGTATTTCCATATTAGCCATATCACAAAAAAAGGCAAGAAAAATAAAGTGAAAAAAATTGTACTTCAATTCGCAATCACAATTCATCAGTTCTCTCTCTCTGGAAGTGAATAGCATTTTTCATCACGATTTCTTCAGAATCATTTTGGACCTGTGTATTAGAGTAGCTAAGTCTTTCACAGTTGATCATCATTACAATATTGCTGTTACTGTATACAATGATGTCCTGGTTCTGTTTACTTCACTTTGCCTCAGTTCATATAAGTCTTCCCAGGTTTTTCTGAAGCCATCCCCCTCTCCATTTCTTATAGCACAGTGATATTTAATCACAATTATATACCACATCTTGTTCAACCATTCCTCAACTGATGGACATCCTCTCAATTTCCAATTCATTGCCACCACAGAAAGAGGTTCTGTAAATATTTTTGTATCTATGGGTCCTTTTCCTTTTTCTTTGACCTCTTTGGAATCCTGACTTAGTAGTGATATTACTGGATCAAAGAGTATTTTATACACATTTTCATAGCACTTTGGGCATAGTTCCAAGTTGTTCTTCAGAATGGTTAGACCAATTCACAGCTCCACCATCAGTACATTAGTGTCTCTATTTTTCCACGTCCTCCCCAGCCTTTGTCATTTTCCTTGTCTGTAATGTTAGTCAATCTGATAGGTTGTTTTAGAGTTGTTTTCATTTGCCTTTCTCTAATTAGTATTAATTTAGAACATTTCTAAATCTCCTTCTTTAAAACTCCCAACAATTGTCCCTAGATTTGCCCTGCAATGCCAAGCAGAAATGGTCTAATCTCTCTTCTGCATTATGGTCGTCATTCATGTACTTCAAGATATTCAACATGACCACTCTGTCTCCCTATCTGTCCTGTGCTTTTCCTTTTCCCTCCTCCCTGCCAAATTTTCTCCAGGCTAAACATCACCAGATTTCAGCCAGTCTTCTTATGGTATTGTACCTTCTCCATCCTGATTGTCCTCCTCGGGAAAAATCTCCAACCCATCTTCCACTCAGACTTCAAAGTGATTTTCTTAAAGCACAGGTCCAGTCATATCACCCCACTGCTCAGTCAACTTCAGCTAAAGTTAATATCACCTCTAGAATCAAATGTAAAATCCTCTATTTGGTATTCAGAGGCCTTTATAATCCTGCCCACCCCCCATTCACCTTTCCAGTTTTATACTTTATACCCCCCTACTACCTTCATCCTGCATATACATTGCAGTTCAGTGACACTGGCTTCCTTGCTATTTCTCAAACAAGGCACTCCATCCCCAAGAGTCCCTTGTACATAGCATGGGATAATCAGGGCCTGTGGTGCCAGAGGTTTGCTCACCACTAACATAGTCTTCAAGAAATGAGGGTTACGTGGATAGAGCACCAGCCATGGAGTCAGGAGGACCTGAGTTCAAATCCAGCCTCAGACACATAACACTCACCAGCTATGTGACTCTGGGCAAGTCACATAACCCCAATTGCCTCACCAAAAAAAAAAAGAAAGAAAGAAAAGAAGGAAAAAAAAAGAAACCAGGGTTACCTCTACATCATGATGAGGTTTCTGGAGCTGCTGCTATTAATTTATATTGAGTTTGCAATGAACTAAAAACTCCCAGATCATTTTTTTTTGTTTTGTTTTGTATTTTTTGTTTGTTAAGCTGTCAGCTAGATGTCTCAGTGTGTAGAGTTCTGGACTTGGAGTCAGGGAAAATGTATGTTCAAGCCCTGCCTCACCCTTTACTGACTGACTGTGTGATCCTGGTCGTATCATTTAATTTTTTGAGCCTCAGTTTCCTCATCTGTAAAATGGGAGTGTTAATTACGCCTACTTCGCAGGGTTGTTGTGAGGATCAAATGAGATAACATGTAAAGTGCTTTGCAAACTTTAAAGCTCTACACAAATACTTTGCTATATATGCTGTTTTGTTTGGGGTTTGGGGTTTTTAGAATTTTTGGACTAGTCAACATTTTTTTTCTCCCTCTCACTTCCATTCCTACACTGTCTGTGTCCCGAATTGTACATCTCATTTGGCATCTTAATTCTGTCACCTCTCTGACAGGAGGTGGTTAGCCTGCTTCATTACTGGTCCTCCACAATTGTGGTTAGTCATTGCAATGCACTGCAGAGTTATGGTTTTCAGTGTTGTTGTCTTTACAATGTTGTTATCAAAAGTAAATTGTTTTTCTGTTCTCTTTACTTTACTCTGTATCATTTCATACAAGTCTTCCCAAGTTTCTCTGAGCCCATCTCTTATGTCATTCCTTATGGCATACTGCTATTCTATTCATACACCATGACACGTTCTGCCATTCTCTAATTGATGGCCTTATAGTTTCCATGTCTTTGCCACTACAAAAAGAGTAGATGTGCATTTTTTTGGTTCTTCTGGGTCTTTTTTCTCTTTGATCTTTTGAATCCCCAGATCTTTTTCATACAAACGCCTCTCTAGCTATATCTTCCTTATCTTATGTTTAGGAAATTGGGTTTTTGAACCAAGATGTAAGACTTGATGTTTCTCCCAGTTAATCTTCTTGGGTTCAGTCCAATGTTCCAGCCAGTTGACATCTTTTAAAATAATAGCTAACATTTATATAGTGCTTACTATGTGCCAAGCACTGTGTTAAGGACTTTACAATCCTAAATCTACAATCCAACATGTAAGTTATCCCTTGTAGCTTTGTTTCATCTGCTCATTCAGTAAGCCTGACATGTTGCCTTTCTCAGTTATTGATCAATATGTTAAACTGCACAGGACCTAGTGCAGATACCTGAGTCAATCCACTAAAGCAAGGGTGAGGAACCTGCAGCCTCAAGACCACATGTGGCCTCTAGGTCCTTGGGTGTGGCCTTTTGACTGAGTCCAAGTTTTATAGAACAAATTCTTTTACTAAGGGGATTTATTCTGTGAGGTTTGGATTCAAGTCAATGAGCCTCACTTGAGGACCTAGAAGACCACATGTGGCCTCGGGGCCACAGGTTCCCCACCCCTTCACTAGAGACTGCTTTGCAAGTTGACATTGAACCATTAATTATTTTTTGTGACCAACCGTTCAGTCAATTCTAAATATACCTCATTGTACTATTCTTTAGCCTACATCCCTTTATCTTGATTCCAGGAATAATGTGAGAAACTGATAAGTATTTCACTAAAATCTAGATAATCTCTAATTACCACACCTTTGTTCTACCAATCTAGTAACCCTGTCAAAAAAGGAAAATAAGGGGCAGCTAGGTTATGCAGTGGATAGAGCACCAGCCCTGGAGTCAAGAGGACCTGAATTCAAATGTGGCCTCAGACACTTGACATTTACTAGCTGTGTGACCCTGGTAAAGTCACTTAACCCCATTGCCTAGCCGAAAAACAAAACAAAAAAAATTTAAAAAAAAAAAAAAAAAAAGGAAAATAGATTACTGTGATGTGACTCTCTTTAATAAGTCCATGCCTGCTCTTGATGACCCCTGCTTCCTGTTGTGGAAGCAATAAACACAGAATCTGGGAGTTTGAAGGTCATGTAACCCAACCCTTCCCTTTAATAATACATTTTAAGTTTCACCAAGTATCCACATCAAAATCACCAGCCTAACATTAGCAATATCTATTCTCTTCCTTATTTTGAAAATTGGGACAGTTGCTATTGTTTAGTATTGTGGTACAATAATACATATCTTTTAAGGCTCAGTTGGTTGTTGAGTTACATGTGCATTCACAACAATCCTATTGGACAAAATTCTCCCTTTTCTCATTGGAATTGCTCTTCTTTGTGTCTTCAGAACTTCATTTTGTAGCACTTCCTAGCCTTTCTGAGCTGATAGGATCTTATTTATCCTTTCTCTGTAACCATAAAATCTACTCTTCCAAAATCTAGTATGCATGTCAGATTATGACCAACTTTCTTTTCCTTTTCTATCATTTCTCCCAATGTTCCCATCATTTCTACTTCGACATATAATTCCTTGTTAGTGGTCCTAAATAGCCATTTTCTTCATTGTGTTCTCATCATCAAGAAGAAATCAGCTCTGAAACTCAGACCTCCTCAGTACCTCCTGTCCCTGGGGGATTCTCCCTCCCTCTCATTGGGG